GAAAGAGAAAAACAGAAAGAAAGAAAGAAAGAAAGAAAGAAAGAAAGAAAGAAAGAAAGAAAGAAAGAAAGAAAAAGAGAAAAGAAAGAGAAAAACGCCCTTTCCCTTCCAAGAAAAACAAACAATTATATTTAAAAGGAGAAAAAAATATATATATATTTTTTTTTTTAAAAAAAAGGGAGCGAGAAAGCAAGGAAATATAAAAATCAACCTCGGTAAAGAAATCAATTGGGATTGGTTTGCAGGTTTGGTTCCAAAACGCTCGGGCCAAATTCAGAAGGAACCTTTTGCGGCAGGAGAACGGGGGTGTCGAGAAGGCTGACGGCACGTCACTTCCGGCCCCGCCCTCCGCGGACGGCGGCGCGCTCAGTCCACCCGGCACTGCGACCACTTTAACAGACTCCCTTTCCCTTCCAAGAAAAACAAACAATTATATTTAAAAGGAGAAAAAAATATATATATATTTTTTTTTTAAAAAAAAGGGAGCGAGAAAGCAAGGAAATATAAAAATCAACCTCGGTAAAGAAATCAATTGGGATTGGTTTGCAGGTTTGGTTCCAAAACGCTCGGGCCAAATTCAGAAGGAACCTTTTGCGGCAGGAGAACGGGGGTGTCGAGAAGGCTGACGGCACGTCACTTCCGGCCCCGCCCTCCGCGGACGGCGGCGCGCTCAGTCCACCCGGCACTGCGACCACTTTAACAGACCTGACCAATCCCACTATCACTATAGTGACATCCGTGACCTCTAACATGGACAGCCACGAATCTGGAAGCCCCTCACAAACTACCTTAACGAACCTTTTCTAACATTGGTTTTTTGTTTTGTTTTGATTTTGTTTTTTTAATTCTTCCTCTTCTTTTTATAATAATTCTAATTATTATTATTATTTACAAGATTTTTTTTTTCCTTCTAACCCACAAAATATTTGGGAAATAAACATAACAGCTTGGTGTGTAGCATCTGCAGCCACTTGGCAAATGAGTTTACAGTATTGTCTCCTTTAAGTGAACATATTTTGTCTACAAAGTGTATTTGGATTTTTTTCTTCAATTAGGTCTTTCAGTTGGTAAGGGAAGTTTTTGAATCATTCTAATAAGTGCCTCTTAAAATTGTATGTTACTTATTTCCAGAATCTCGAAGAAAAAAAATTGAGTGGTATTATGCTGGGCGAAGAATCATATTCCCAGTAAAATGATTAGGTTAATAAAGAACCAGATAATTAAAGAGTTATTTTTTAAATCTTACAATTGTATATGTGGTTACTGGATTTTGAAAACTTCACATTTTTAAATTTTAAAACTGAAAAAATGTTTTGAGTATTCCTATTTCTTACCTGAATTGTTAATTCAAATAAGGAATATGATTAAACAAAAGAATTAACTATATCAATTTTAAATAGTAATGATTAATTAGTTGAGAAATCGATTTCCTTCTCTTAGGGACATACGATCCCCCAAATTTCTACTAAATTATTTATTTTTCAACATTTGGAAAAAACTTAAACTCCCTGTATATACATGAAAATTCCACACAGAATTTGAAATTCTATACATTTAACCTCCTAAAGCTAAAAAAGTAATAGCTCTGAAACCATTCTTTCTTTCTTTTTCTTTTTTTTTCTTTGGTGGCTGGCAATGGGGACCCTGTAACCTCGGGCTTATAAGGCTGTGCTCTAACCACTGAATAAACTGGCCAGCCGCAAAACCATTCTTTCTAAATTACTTCCCCCTCCCCCCAGGGAAAATGGAAATAAGCAAAATATAATTTTTTAAGAAGTAAAAAATCGGTATAGTTTAATTACTAGCTCTATTAATTGGCTTCAGCCGTACCATGATATTGTATCTGGCATTATACATGAATAATGGTTTTTAAAAACCCAACTTAGACTAATACCAACAATGAGAATTCTTTGGTTTTGTTTTGCTTTATTTTATATTGGCACAGGTTGACTTATGTGTCAAAAAAACTTTTCTGACGTTAGAGATTTGGAGTTAGTCCTAAAGAAGATAAACTCAGAAGCCTTGTGGATGCTGATCTGACTATATTTCCTAGTTTACAATAGCATTTTTTTTTCTTCTAATTTAAGCTAAAATCTTAATGGTCTGGGCAGTGGTGAATGTTCATCTACATGCTTCTGTTGTAGTTAAATACCAATTAGATTGTGGATTTCCTAAAACAAAAACACAAACAAAAACAAAACAAAAAAGTCAAGATATATGTCTTGCTTTAGTGGATTGTTAAGAATAACTTTGCACATATTTTCCACTTTTTGGACCCCTTAAATCTCCTCTGATGGTCTAAGCAGCTATTTAATAGATTTTAAAGGTGTCCTTCTGGCTGTATAAATGTGTGGTTACATATTGACAGTTCACTGCCCACATTAAAGTGCATTATTGTAACTTTTGCTCAGGGTCTTTAGAAAATTAGCACAGAAAGTAGCTTATTTTTTAAAAAAAATATGATGGAAGATAGGTTAACACTGTAACAGAAGAAAGGTGTGATTGCCATTATATATTTAGCAAGTGTGGTCATCATCTTCTATGGAGCTTGAATCTTGACTTTTCATATTTCTAATACATTTTGGGCATTTACCACTAACCAGACCAAACAACTTTGGTAAGGCTGAGATGTTATTAATACACTTTTACAGGTAAAATACCTTGGTAAGGCTGAGATCTTATTAATACACTTTTACAGGTAAAATATTGATACTTATAAATTTTGTTCTTTGACAGAACAATATATGGTACTATAGATCTACTTTATTAAGTAGACTAATTATAACTCAGTTTTCCTATGTGCCTTATGATATAACTTGGAAGTAAGTTTGTGAAAAATCAGGATATATGTGTTGTTTGTTAAATTAACTGTTTTAAGCCCTTTTGACACCTCACTAGTTTTGTACTGTTTTACCTCTTATTTCTGAAACTCTTTTTATGGTGTATCCTGTTAGAGAGGACAAACATGTCATAGAAAGCAGTTGTGCACTCTTTCAAATATAGTTGATAAATTCAATAATCTTATATATTGAGCTTCGTGTTTATAGTACAGTAAAAGTGATCTGGCAAAATTGTCCATGTTTCTTTGTTTATTGATAAATGCGTTGTATAGAAACTATTTCCCCTAAATATTTATGGACCAAACAATTGTGATATATCCTATTAAATTTGTGTGAATAAACCATTTTGAATCTAAGGAGTTTTATTTCCTATCAGTTTTATTTAAGTTTTAACTGTACCAGTGTGTTTTCCATATCTACATGTAAAAGCTATAAAAATGGTAATAGAAAATATTTTAAAATATTCAAACATACATATAGTTTTCAGATTTCCACACTTCTGATTCATAGTAAATGTACACACCATTGCATATGAAATGTAATTCAAGCTAGAATTTACCTTTAAATGTATTTGCTTATAATAAAAGTAATGCCCCACTGATTTGACTCAGTCCAATTTTAGAATAAAAAAAGATAATTAGTAGATAAAGTTATTGCATGAAAAGAAACCCTAAATA